ATATATATATATATATATATATATATATATATATATATATAGCGTAGAATTAAGTTAAAATTAAGTTTGATATATAATCTGACGATCTAATTAAAAGAAATTTACTTATTCTCTTAACAGCCTACACGACATTTAATTCGGCTCCACGAAAATTGTTATATTTGAAGCTTCTGACTTCTCGCCATTTTGATTTATGACATCAGTGCCATTTTAGGGGTATATCTTTTTATTTCAATGTATTTATCAGAAATTTTTATCGTGTATTTTGTCGCTTCTGACGTAATCAATTGAGAGTTCCGCGAACCAGGAGCTTTAAAGGTATATAAAAATAGGTATATAGTTTTAAATTCGGAGATGGACTTAATCTTTTGCTTAGTCTTTTGATCAAAGCATTTCTGGAGTATGACTGACTAAAGGAATAATTTACAAGTCATAATTTGAAAAAGAAGAAGACAACTCTCTACTGCTCAAATTAATTTTTTATGTTTAAAATTTTTTTTATATAAATAAGATATTAAGTACTCAACATATATTACATTTATATAAATAAGATATTAAGTACCCAACATAGATTAAGTACTCAACATATATAAAAAGTGAAATTTTTTTTTAATTTTTTATTTTCCCACAATAGGTTTGTGACTCTGAGATCACATTGGGCAGTTACTATTGCTGCTAACATACTAAAAAAAGATTGTGATTTTCACATCAAAATCGGTCAAAACAAGAACATTCATACTAAAGATAAATAATGATGAAACTGAATTGTGACTTCAGAGTCACAGTGAGCAGTAGAGGATTAAATGAGAGATGTTTATTTAGAAGTGATTTAAACTAGTTGCATTGAAATACCTATAGATACAAAATTTCCAGTGAAGCAGGGATTTTAATAAGAGCTCCTTGCTGACTTAAATGTTAATTCAGTCTTCCTTTCGATGATTTCTCAATGCGTTGACACGAATGGAGTACGCGATGAGTACTGCGCTAAGAACAGTAATTATCAGAGTCACATAGCTGACTAGTGTCAAGAGAGACAAGTTGCCAACTGGCATTGACCATGTGTAGTTGTCCCACACAGTGTATGAAATTTCCCTCCATTTTGCTGCCAAATCAATGCATGGCTCACATAGATTTATCTTGGATACTCTGTGGTTCTTGAGCCTCTCTTGACACCCCAGTAGCAGTCCCGGCATTGGTAAAGTCACATTGACATAGCCACCGGATTCTTGAGCATATTGATAACGCTGATGGACAGGGATTGTCAAGGTGATAGTAGACAATGAAATCACTGGTCCACATGCTGTCACATTCTGTTGTTCTGACTTCTCCGCAAATAACTCAGTGTTGGTTTCACCCGTGAAACATACTGTACTCTGGAATGTTATTATGATTTATTAGTACTCTAAATAATGAAGACGAGAAGTCTGTTTTTTATCCCCCAACTAGTGTAGACTTGTGGAATTTAAAAAGAAATAGATATACTGTTAGAACTTGGTGGGAAAAAGAGAAGATAACTAATGCAACCAATTCAACGATAAGAAACAAACTTAAGAATAGGAATCAGTTAAGCAATATAGTAATTTAAAAGTGGAAAATTATAATATTTATTTAAGAAAAGTTACTGTTACTTAATCTTTACTGGGAATTACGATCTTTTTTTCCATTATACACACAGATTAATAAATGACAAAATCAAATGATTAAAAGTACATACCATCTTTTGTCTCCTCAATTCTGCTATTTCATCCGTATTGACATACAAAGTCGAAGGTAATTCCTGGTATATCGCGGCTAGACAGTTGTCGTTTAGGAGATTTTTAAAAGTCACATGATATATTAACGTCCTGCAAAAGAGAAAAATTATAGAAAAATCGTGCGAATCTGTCATTTACACCTAATACAATTTTTAACCTATGAAATCCGTTGCCTTTCACATCCAGTTCAACTTCAGCTTCTACTGCCGCAGAAATGTGCAAATATTTCACAAACAAAACAAACGCAGTGATAATACGCGATAGATTCAAGTCGCAAATATGATTTATCATTTTTGCACATTCAAAATTACCGCCTAACTCTCACAAGCCCTTTTCATCGCGAGTATCCACAAGTTTCTGACATATGCAAAATCGTAGACATGGGCTGCGTTCCGAAATTCACTGCCAATACTGAAATTCTGTAATATACGTAACATGAACTATAGATTTTCAGTACTGGCAATGCATTTCGAAACGCAGCCATGGAGTATGTAGAGTGTTCACGGTGCTTGTTTTCGTGCTAGATTGCTTGCTGGATGGAAATACTCTGTTTTGATTGGTGCATTTCCATTCATCTTCAGAAATGCACCAATCAGGGTACCTATTATGGACCTCTTCGGAATCAATTCCGATCGGAATAATTCCGTTTCCCCTAGAAAAGACAATAGAAATCTAGGAAATAACTGAATGTTTCCGATCGGAATTAATTCCGAAGAAGTCTATAGTAGGTACTCAGGGTCTCTATTCTTGAAATTTTTGCGTAATTTTAATTGCGCAGCTATTTTATAGTATGATTAAACTTGCGCAGTAAAACTTACGTATACACAACTATTTCAAGAATAGTTTCTTTCTGCCTGAACGATCAAGCGGATGGTTCGAATTCCCTATTATTGCACTTGCTAAAATTGGTAACGCTGCTCGCGTATCTTGAGTGTCAAACATGGCGTCGATCGCGCTCCACCGTTGAGGGTAAGGAGATTTGAGGGCCGTCGATGATCGCATCGACTCGACGTTTCTGACTTCTGTAGAATTCTCGCCCGCATGACTCGTCCGAGCGTGGAGTGATATGTCCTCGTACACGTTCTCGCAGAAACTGTTCACGCCGACGCCACCTGAGCGCGGCAGCTTTCCGTTGGATCACGAAGGCATCTGCAAGCGCATTATGATCAAATATATGCGCTGCTTGACGGAACATCACAATCGAAACGACTCGTGCCGCGACATCGCCAAGGAGTACCTCAGTTGTCGTATGGATCACAACCTGATGACTCGCGAGGACTGGTCCCAGCTCGGTTTCGACGTCGACCAGCCCAAGAAGATATAAATCTCGTCTTCAACGTGGACCAACCCCACGTAGACTCCACTACTGCCCTCGACGCTGCCTGCCTGGCGCATTTCGATTATCGCGATTCTCGCTGGAACGCGGCGACAGCCCTGGGAAAGGAGAGCGGATCCCGACAAGTTGGTAGTTTAATGTAAATAGAAAATAATAGCGATTCGTTATCGAAGTATTGTAGCGAGACGAGTAGTGATCACCGATGTTTCTCAGGCGGACAGCGTAGCTTTTATTGCCGCGAGTGGCGTGATATCATCCTAGTTTCTTCACACGTAGCGTTATCGCGTACAATATCGGGGTAATCTATCGATATTGGGGGAACCTAAACAGAAGGAATTTGAGCGATATCGTGTGTGCTTGCCTTAGAGAAGGAAGATCACGTTGAGCGTGCGACGGATAGTAAGTCACCGTAATAATCAGACAATATTTTAACGTTCGCGCATGAATTTTCCATCTCTAAAGAGCAATCCTTGATAAAATTCACAAAATATTGAGAATGTATTGACACGAACGTTACATTGTTTCCTGACAGCTCCTAGTGTGCAAGAATTAAGGATAACAGGACAGTATTGTATGAGAAAAAGAGAGCAAGAGAGGAGAGCTCCTTGAATCTAGGGCATCCTGGTAGCTTCTGTCATTGTGTTCTATGGTTGAATCGTGTTACAACCAGTGGCCTAAGATTATTGCGTAATAGAGTATATATATATATATATATACATTGTCGATAGAAGATTCTAATATTTATCTCACGTTATAGCGGGAAGATTTCGCCAAAGCACTTAGATTATATATATATATATATATATATATATATATATATATATATATATAATTATTACCTATAATAGTCAAAAGAGACTCGTAAAGATGGCACACACTACCAAGAAGAAAGTGTTGCTCGGTTGCACCGGTAGCGTGGCTACCATCAAGCTGCCAGAGCTGGTGCAGAAGCTGCTGGATAGAGATATGGAGGTGAGGGTGGTCGTGACAGAGCGGGCCAAGCACTTTATCAAGGATGCCGAGTTGCCACCGGGTGTCCAGGTGCTGTCCGACACGGTAGAGTGGGCAGCCTGGCAGGGCCGAGGTGACCCGGTGATTCACATAGATCTGATGAAGTGGGCGGACATCTTCGTGATAGCGCCACTGGACGCCAACACCATGGCCAAGATAGCCAATGGCATATGCGACAACCTGCTCACCTGCGTGGCACGCGCCTGGACCAATATGAAACCGGCGATCTTCTGCCCGGCCATGAACTTCAATATGTGGCAACATCCGACCACTGCGCCGCAGGTGAGACAAAGAAAACCCATGCACAAGTTCTCCCCTATATGATCTTCTTTCTTGTTTTAAAATTAGGGAAAATCTCGGTTGTAAAATGTTGCAAATCTATAGGAGTGCGAATTTTTTGTTGAATATGTCTCTCTTAACAACATCTTGGTGTAAAAAAGAAATCAGATATTTTATGGTAAAAATATATATGAAATATTTTAATATTGGATATATATATAATATACGATGTATATAAAATTGGAAACAAATCTAAAAGAGTGTGCTACTTAAAGATTAATATTGGGTTGTGTAATAAGTAAGAGTAATTCCGGGTTTTTCAGATAAAATGAAATGTCTCTATTATATTGTAATCATATGCACGCGAAGAATGGCACAAGATCATAGATCAAAATGGCGCATGCGTTGTTTTGTAAAATCCAAGCACATAACAATATAGACATTTTAATTCATCTGAAAAATCGGAAATTTTTTATTATACAAGCCAATATAACGAAGAATTCGATTCCTTGATGTTGCAGGTGGAGCTGCTCAGATCTTGGGGCTACAAGGAGGTGTCCTGCATAAAAAAGTTGCTCATGTGCGGCGACGAAGGGATGGGCGCGATGGCCGAGGTTGACACGATCGTGCAGACCACTGTGCGTATGTTGGAGCCTCGGGATCCGTACACTGCGTATTCGATACATTAAACTGTCGCCGGCGTCATCGTCCTCGTCGACAATACGAGCATTAATGAGAACGTGCTGCCGAGATCCTTATGAACGTGCGTGCTACGAATGCGCTTCGTTCAAGTACACACAGACTTCACTTGTTTAAGACCGTATACGAGATACCAAAGCAAAGGCACTAACGAAAAGTATTTTAACTGAGTTGTTAGACATCCTCAGTTACGAACAGTAACTTCACTATGAAAGCGTCAACGTTCTTCAACGTTACTTCATTATGAAAGAAGTTCCAACTCTACAGCCGTAATTATTTCGTGTGCATTTATTTGATGTTTTCATCACGACGAATAAACCGGCACAAATAGTACCGCAATGCTGAGTACATAAAAAAATATACAACTGTGTTCACGAAATTGTGATGAGTGTTCGTGGTAAACAAAAGAAAACACGAATGTCAATAATTTTCCTGAGAAGATACGGTTTAGCAGTTTATGGTACTTTTATTTATCTGAAATAAATAAATACGAAATACTTTTCGGTGGTGCCGTCGAAAGAATCTATAATTAGTTACGAAATGTGTTGATAAGTTGATGTGTTGATAAGTGGGGAAGACGGGGAAAAGAGGTTGATTTGTCAATAAGTCTCTTCCAAATATTATACGTTGTCTCTTAAGAAATGCGTTACTTGACATAAGGACCTGTTGAATTATATTACAAGCGAAATGATTGATGATTATTACTAATTAGAATTCTAATGGTGTCGGAACGGTGAAGTCCGTGTATATGATACGGGTAATAAAGTTATGTACGTTCGAAAATATCACACGATCGCTTCGCTTAAAAGGGATAAATCAATCGTCAACACCGAAACAGCAAATAAGATAATACAAGTCATAAATTTTGCCTGTCCGCCAGTTGCGTCGAGATGCGATGTAAAAAAATGCTGTAAAAAATGAACAAAAAAAAAGATTCCGTTAACATATCTTACAGTTGATGCGCCTGAATGTACATGCTTTTGTTAAATATACGAACGATACATCACATTTGTGACAGAGAATTAATTTATATATGACGCTCCTAAATCTCCCAGAGACACGTCATTTTAATAATTCGATATGATATACAAAACCCACCTACACATCAACCCACCTACACATCTACCCACCTACCACATCTCTTAAATTTTTCAATGATGAAAAGACATAATAATACAAAATGCTTTTATATTATTATGTGCAATCACGTTTATTTGTAGACTCGTAGTTATATATCTATATAAATTTTAATTCTCTAATTGAAAGTTCCTATTAAAAATTTTGGTTATACTTATTACTTATACACAATTATATATACTTACATATAGATTATTTATAAATTATGTAATGATAATATGAAAATTATATGATTATTTTATTGTGCAATTAAGTGGCGATGTTCAGTAAAATCACTTTATTTCCGTATATACACATAAAGCACGATCTTACGATATAATACGTATAGCATATAATCGGCACGTTATATATATATATGCAAATTTTTCCGTAAGTTTGGAATAAACGAAAGGCGAGCAGTTTCAAGGCAAACTCTCTGAGTTTCTCGCCACGATCCTCTCGATCGGATCACACGAGATACAACTTGCTCGGATACACTTTTCCGGTAACAAAGATATTCAACCAGAATAAAAAAAATCGTTAATCGATAACAAATATTATTATTTATATATAAATTTACATCCGTTTGTTTCAACGGATATGCGATTCATTCAGAGACACACGCGCGACCTTAATGTAATCATTATATAATTATACATAACACACGTATACATGTATATATACATACATATACATATATATATACACGCATACATATATACATATGCATATATGTATATATACACATACATACCTATACATATATATGAGATATATATGGGATGCGTCTATGGAAATGCTTGGACAAACTTTGCAGGCGTGATATCTATATAATATGTGGATCTAATTTCTTTCTTACGAAAGTTTAATCAGTAGAATTCATTTTCGCGTTTTTTACATTTGGGGTCGGAAAACCGACCCCAAATCGACTGATGGGCACCGCTTACGTAGTTCGTCCATGCCTCTCGAAAACACAACGCCGTATATAAATCTGCAAGATCGAGTTTATTGCAATATTGCAATAATTGTATATTTTATTTTTTTTTGCGCTACGCTCTTTGACATTTACGCTAGCTACGTCGACCGCGCGGTATATAAATATCACAGTTTATAAAACTGGCGACACGTTGCCCGTGTCCTCTTCTGCTAAATTAATGCGATATCAATTAATACAATATTGATATAAAATACGTGCTCTGTCGTGGATCCCGATTATCTCTTATCGCTTAGAAATTCCCGGTTCACTTTCGAGTAATCGCGTCGCGTTTACGGAAGGACGACTAATAGAGTATATGCTTATATATCGGTGGTGCGCGGCATTGGTCCTTTGGAAAGGATAACAACGGGGATTTCTGTCTCGATTGTAAAATTGTAAATTGTAAAAGGAATATCGAAATGTTGGATGGATTCTTTTGGCAGTGGCGGTTCGTCAATCATTAAGATTGTAAGGATTCGCGTCCACCTAGAAGTATATAAATTATGTCTTAAGTTAATTACAATCGTACAAATGCGATGTAAAAAGATAGCGTACAAAAATATGCCTCGGCGCTCAGCGGCGCGATTTTTCCGGTAAAAATGCCAGGGATGATTCGGACCTAGATCATACTCCGAAGAAAGACCGATTTCTCGTTGAATCGTTGTGGAGTTCTCGCGTATTTTGGTTAATACAATCTTAGTCTTGTCATGAAAAGTCCGCAAGAAATTCCTGTCGATAGTTTAATTGATCAAAGAGCAGAGCTTGTCTTAAAATTCGTTCAAGTTAGCTACGATTTTAGTTGCCGTATCTTTTCTTGATTCCTTTCAACCTTATTTTTATCTCATGATATCGTAAACTTCGCGATTTTCATCAAAATTAATCAAATTCATTCATCAAATTAAGATTTTCATCTTTCATTTCGTATAGAAAAAATCCTTTTAGAGGTGCACTGCAAGTGGCTTAGGTCGATATCATCCGCAGAGCTTTGTTCGAGCCGTGTAATCGCGATTTCTTTGTACGAAGGATCGGCGAGGGAGTCAACGAAGACGCAACTTCGCGTACGCATCATGTTACACGAGCGATCCCTTTTGAAATGTCGCTCTCAACGAAAGTAGTCGCGCCTTCTCGTGTTCCGCTCGTTAATCCATCGACGATCCTTCGATATGAATATCCGATTGGCTTGTTTGACGTTCGTACTCGCGCGCGAAATCCCTGCGCAAAGGTATGAGAAATGTTCCCGTCACGTAGTTGGCTGAGAGGATACGTGCGTTACAGCGACAACCTGAAAACACACAAGGAAAACACCGTCACATCGTGCTGCTGCTATATTCCTGAATCCTTGACTTGCGCATCTAAGCAGATCGCATGAGCCGGATTTCATGCGAGATACATAAATTTTTCCACGGAATTATAAAAAATACAGCAAAATGTTCGGGTAAATATTAGATTTCATTCAATCGTACATTGCATAAATCTATAATTTTGTGTAATTTTTTCGTAACAATTATAAATTATTTTATAGTTTTATTAAATTTAGATGAAAATGGCCAATGTTAACACTCCATAAAATACATTAATGATTTATATTTGCTTTAAAGCTCTAAATTTTTAAAGTTATAAAATTCAATAGATTATGAAATTTCTAAGATGCATACTTTATGTGTTTTCGAACTTATTAACGACTAGGGCGCACGATAAATAATAATTATTACTTACAGTATTATTTTAAAGAAGCTTATGGCGACTATTGCGAGTATTGATGTAGTTGCACTCGCGGTGGAAGCTGAGACAATACTCGACTTCCTGGGGAAATTGGTCTCAATATCGTTGGTCTCTACTTCCGGCGGACAACCCATCCAAACTGGTCCTGAGGGTTTTTGTTTCTCGTGGGCTACCCTCATCCTCAAGTCATCGAACTCCCAGAAACCTTTGCCTTTGAAGAAGTATGTTTTACCTGACAAAAAGCAAAACTGAATTTGGTCAAATGGCGATATGCGAAATTACATATAATATATTATAAAATTCTTGAGGTAACAATTTGGACTTAGACAATTGAAACGGATCGAAACGTTGAACTTTTATAATATATCTGAAGTGATTAAAACTGTTTGCACTTTTACACCCGTGCCTTGGCTTTTACACGCTATTTCTCATTTTACTATAATTTGATTTCATATCTAAGGGCCATATAATTTAATTTTAATTTAATATAATTTAATATAATTTAATATAATTCAATTTAATTTTAGACAATTGATGTCCGAAATTTACCATTCTTCCATTGAAAAACGGCATCAATATTGCTCCCGACGCCGGCGAACATGCTTATGTCTCTGGGATAATCCAACTCCACGTAATTGACGTTCTCGTCGAACCTGTACGATAAAGAAAAAGACGTTAATTACCACTAAGCGGATTGCCGTGCGTAATTACCGTTTGCACCGTGATCAGCTGTTGGAAGCGGGATCATCGTAAACATCGACAAAGATTACTGGAATTACCTCCAATACATGGAGCCACTGAAGAAATAGGTCCTGCCGTTGTAGCCCCACACCATGGCGCCATCGACCTTCTCCAGAGAGGGCGGTAGCCCTAAATTCGTCAAGGGTTTAGGATAACCTGCTTCCAGAAAATTGGCGTTGAAGACGTAGTACTCGCGATCGATGAAGAAGACTATCCTCTTGTCCGAGCGCTCGTAGACTGCGTCCACGTGGTCAACGCCTGCCGGCAAGTTGAACAGCCTGCTGATCTCCGCCGGGTATCCCTCGTAAATACCTTGCTCGCCTATTCTCCATAGATACTATGTAGGCAAAGGAAGATTCATTAGTGGGGGTTCTGTGTGTGTGTGTGTGTGTGTGTGTGTGTGTGTGTGTGTGTGTGTGTGTGTGTGTGATTTCAGGTATTTGTAATTTTGTCTACTCTCATTATTGCATGAGTCGAAATATATCGGAAAAGAATAAGTTATTATTGAATCAGTGGAGAAAGTCGGTACGATTTTTGAGTAAAATTTAATTTGATTGCATCTCAGTGAACACCAACTAACGGTAACATTAACATCAATATTATAGTTCCCCATTCAACAGTGTAACTGTTACATGCATTGTATATATCTATATACACAATTATACTGCATTTACATTATTGAATTATAACAGTAATGCTATGTTATTAATAATTGGTTATTGGGACACAATGAAAACGTGCGTTAACCAAGTAATTGCCATCGTTGTCTGCGACTTTTTTGCCAACGTTCAGACGGCATTTATATGCCTCTTCTATTATCAATGAAAAAAAATTATTATACAACGAAAATAATGTCGTACGGTTGCGAAACTAAACACATCCCCCTTTCAAGACCCGTCATCCCGCTTACCCGTCCCTTGAAGATGAAGATCTCCCTGCGGATGATGCTGATGGCGTCGTAGCTGGTGTCACACTTGTCGGGCACGTCATCCCGTTGCTGCGGAGTCCAGCGATGCCTGAACCTCGGGGTCGGCCGCATCGTGGTCGTCGACGTCGTCATCACCGTATGATGCCGGTGTTGCGGCTTGCGCGGCCGATAGTCCGGCTTCTGAGGGTAACGGCTCGGAGGCTGTCGAGGTCTGCTATCGTCTGGATAATGATTAGGCCTGGTGGGCCTGGTCCTCCAAGGTCTATACGTCGACGGGGTGGACGTCGTTGTCGTCGACGTCGGTGATAGTGGTGGTGGTCGCTCTGGAGGTGACGGACCGCCTGGTATGTTGCCCCAGAGCTTTCCCTCGGGAGCACCTAAGAAGTACGAATGAATTTTAGCACATTTTGGCTTATATTAATAGACTTTACTTGAAATTCTTCTCAAGTGAGAGTTAGATCCGTATTAAGGGGATGCTGGAGTCGATGACGAACTCGAACAATGTCGATAATGCAGAGACGATTGTCACTAACATAATCACGCTATCCTTTTCGTATTTCTTGTATATACAGAACTTACATAAATAGCTACGTTCAGCAGAGAAAGCTGCTTTGCAACTGTTGTAAATTTCGTGAATCTGATTGGTCTTGAATTTAACTAAAACTTTCATCCAACATTACATTAAACATTTTACATTAAACATTTTTACATTAAACATTTTTACATTACATTTTTACATTAAACATTTTACATTAAACATTTTTTGTTCGTTTTCTTCGCTCTATCGAGCAATGCTCTTATTTATTTTTGCACGTACTTTCATTGCGTAAAAGCATTTGTAATGTAACTAATACGACGTAAACTTTGCAGAAAAATGTCAGTGTTCTGTTGGTAAAGTTTTCAGCTTCAGCATCCCCTTAATAGTCGTTACTTAAAACTTCTCTGATGAGACTCTTAGATATAAGTTTAGAGTTGGATGAAAGTTTTTCAGTTGAATGAACATACTCTTGAATTTAACCAAAATTAAGAGCATACTTCGATCAGATTCATGAATTTTACAACAATTGCAAAGCAGCTTTCTCTGCTGAACGCAATCAATTGTTTTGTTTTACCATATTCAACGGAAAACCTAACTAAATATAGAAATCTTTCTGCAAATTTTTTCGATATTCTTAAGCTTCCAAGTGCAAATGTGAAAGTAGAGCAATGTTCTTCAAAATTTTTCTGTTTGGAGCATCCACACTTTCGGTATGTACAAGCTACGAAACTTTTGGATTAGGGAAATATTATACGCTAACTGACAGCTTGAGATTTTACATTAAACATTTATTGTTCGTTTTTTTCGCATATCGAGCAATGCTCTTATTTATTTTTGCACGTACTTTCATTGCGTGAAAGCATTTGTAATGTAATCAATACGATGTAAACTTTGCAGAAAAATGTCAGTGTTCTGTTGGTAAAGTTTTCAGCTTCAGCATCCCCTTAATAGTCGTTACTTAAAGCTTCTCTGATGAGACTCTCAGATATAAGTTTAGAGTTGGATGAAAGTTTTTCAGTTGAATCGTGATTATAAATATAATGTCACATACATTATATTATTCAAATAGAAAATTTGGACCTAATTTCGGGTCAAAATCTGAGTATCTTACATGAAACAAGTTTCAAGTGCCAATTATTAACACGAGCTTTAGACAAAAGCTTTTCTGTTGAAACGCGACTACAAATATCGCGCGTATATCATATAATTCAACTGAAAAATCTGGATCTAACTCTGCACAAAAACCCGATTATGTCACATGAGACAAGTTTCAAGCGACAATTATTAGCACGAGCCTTAATCATCTATCACCCTCTTAATTCTGAGCGACAACACCCACCACCAGATACACGAACGCGATGTAAACGGTGGCGTGTGAAAAATTCAACTTCGCAAAACAGGTATTATCGCGGGGTGAGCTTTCGTTTTCCGGACCGATGATAAATGGGTGCGACGCGAGCCGACACGTTGCTTATCAGAGCGACTACGCGCGCGTCTCCCGGACCGATTTATTCATTCGGCATTGGGGGGCGGGGGGGTGAAGGGGGAGAAAATAAGTAGGTGCATTCTGTGCGATCGCGCGAGCGCGTCGATGCGAGGGGAGGCGAGAGGAAGAGGAAAGAGGGTCTTTTTTTCACGTCCACGCGCGATGAATACACTTGTCGCCCTTCGCGACGACTCGGGTGAAAAGAAATCCCGGATCTGCGCGCGGTTGATATCGGATAATTTGTATCGGGACGCCGCGCGGAGCGACGTGTCCGCGATGAGACAAGCCGGCTACAAAGGAAGAAAAAGATTCGAGCGTTTAAATATTCTATTCGCGTCTCGCCCTTTCACGAGGACGAGGCGCGCTTGACAGGCGCGATGGAACACGCGATGTCCCGCTGCTGTCCCGACGCGAAAACGTTATTCGCCACATCCTGCCGGAGCTGGAACAGCGCGCGCGCCGAGCTCAAATTAATCAAAGAGCACAAACTACATTAGCACTCGCCTCGGGCGAGATGTCCTTTCCTGTGTTTTTTTGTTTTGTTTTGTTTTTTATCTTCATCCCATTCGCGCATCCGCGATTTTCATCGGAGCACCGCGATTTTAATTAGCCTATCGAAACTGTTTGCCAATTTCGACACGGACACGAGTCTTTTTCCATCGATCGCGCTCGTACTCGCTTCCGATCGGCGAGCATCAACGAAATGCGTTTTTTCATGACTCGCCGTAGGGCTATTGACTCTCCCGATATACGGACATCATTTCACTTTGTCGACCGCCAAGCGGTCGGGCTTTTAAATGCCTCGCTCCTGCAGAAGTTGATTTTGCGCCACGCGGCCTCCGATCCGCTCGGGAAATTGAATTTTTCGATATTACATACGCGCGCGGCAACGGTATCTGCACTTTTATTACTTCTTCCAGACCTCATTTGCCCTCGCTTTTCGCGTTAGATCGAATCCACGTATCGAGATCCGCAACCCTGCAGCGATTGTTTTGTGATAGACTGCGACGCGCCCGAGTCACGGCGCGATAATCATGCGCCGACATGAACAATACGACTGATCATCGTTTCTGACCGGCTTTCTAAATGTAGCCCGTTAAAATGTGGATTATGCACTGCCGGCACAATGCGCTTTAATCTCGCTGGCGGAAAGAGCTGGCTTGGGAAAATGCGGGGACGATCGGTCTGTTGGACGCGCACACGCTGTTTGCAAGTTCCCAATTGTAGATTCACGAACTATCTGATTTCGAGCGGAAAAGGATTTCGAATCGAATCCTACTTGATCCGATTCGAGGCCGAATCCTCGCTGTTTGAATCCGAGTTACTCGAGAACTGTAGGAATTTAAGTTTCGCGCATTGGCGAACTTGGGAAGTTTTACATTTCAAAATATACACTGAGAGAAATTAACAAACGGATATTTCTGATCAAAATACTAATGAATTTTTGTATCCGATTAGGGAAATCCGGGAATGAGAAATAACAGTTTATAATTTTTTGATCGATTTATTTGATGAAATGCCATTATAATTGAAAGTATTCGATTAAATTTAATCGGATATAAAAATTGATCGGTACTTTGATCGGAAATATCCATTCGTTAATGTTTTATCGGACAATTTATCTCACAAGGAAACCCACATAAATGTCCGCCTCCAATTTTCATGAACTTGTAATATGTTGTATTTTAGATAAAAATAACAAGTATGTTTTTTATTATATGTGTCTTTTCGCAAGTTTAGGAGGTAAAATACCCCTTTGAAGAAAATCGATTTTTTTCATTCGAAGGGAATGTAATGGTTACATGATATTTTCTCGAAAAATAGATGGGGAAAATGGTAGTACCAATAAAAACCCTTAGGCAACAATTTTAATTTTTGCGGATTAATGACACTGTTGAAGTAGCAAGTCCATGAATTTTGCAAAATCATTTTAACATATACATGTGTATTTGTCAAATAACAAGCTGTCACTAATCTGCAGAAATTAAAATTGTGTTGCCTAGAGGTTTTTGTTGGTACCAACATTTTTCCAATTAGTTTTCGAGAAAATGTCGTGTAACCAATATAATGAAAACTATAAGAGACAGGAAAAATTTTTTTGAATAAAAATTGAATGGTTTGAAGAGTACTTTGCAGAAATTATTTTTATAATTATAATAAGAAGTGGTGACGGAAATATTAACAAAAAAAATTTATTTTCCAAATAATTCTGTAAAGTACTCTTCAAACCATTCAATTTTTATTCAAAATATTTTTTTCTATATCTTATAATTTTCATTATATTTGCTTTGAATGAAAAAAAACGATTTTCTTTCTTCAAAGGAGCATTTCATCCCTAAAACTTGCGAAAGGATACATATAATAAAAAAACGTATTTGTTATTTTGATCTAAAGTACAACATATTATTAGGACCTTAACTTAGTTTCCGCCCAAAAAATACTGAGAAAAAGCATTTATTGTAAAAAATTTATTTAAATTATTTCAATGAAAGTATTTTCCATCACTTTCTACAACTTTTTGCCATCTTTCTGGCAACTGGGCGATACCATCTCGATAAAACGATGTTTGTTTCGAAGCAATCCATTCGTCCACCCATTCTCGCACTTCTTCAACATTTCGGAAGCGTGTACCACTCAA